CCCTACCTACCTCAAGGCAGTATCCAGCCTTTGCACCTCTCTCTCTCTCTCTCTCTCTCTCTCTCTCTCTCTCTCTCTCTCTCTCTGTGTGTGTGTGTGTGTGTGTGTCTGTCGCTCTCTGTTTCTATCTGTCTGTTTCTGTCTGTTTGTCTGTCTGTGTGTCTGTCTGTCTGTGTCTGCCTGTCTGTCCGTCTCTCTCTCTCTCTCTCTCTCTCTCTCTCTCTCTCTCACAGAGACACACACACACAATCAGAATCAGTTTCCTCTTTGGCTTTCTGAAAGGGCCGGAAAATAGTCAAAAAATCCCCAAACATTTTTTTTGGATGTGGGCCATGAACGAACCACCCCCCCAAAAAAGTTTTCTTTTTTTTTTTTTTTTTTTTTTAAATTCCGGACCTACCGGACCGGACGTCCGCCCGGACATCCAGACGCGGACGGTCCGGAATGGGTTCCGGACGTCCGGACGGTAACCATGGTAGATACACGTCAAGTAGTTCAGAGGTTGAAATGGCATTTTGCCTTTGTTTTTTTTGTTTTTTTTTTCGGAAGAAGAATGTCTTCTGTTTCTCACGTGACTCCGCGTGAGAGGCGGGGGGAGCAATCTATGGGCCTCGTGCAAAATGAGAATCAATTTTCCTCTAGAACATGGAAAGATACACGGCCATGATTTGTGTCTTTTGAGCAGGTCGACAGTAGTGGGAGGACGCCCTATTGCTTTGTCAGTCCCCTTCTTTTCAAGGCATTCTCACGAGCCCTGTCCACAATCCCCTTCTTTTCAAGGCATTCTCAGGAAGCCCTGTCCACAATGCATCTGACTGTACCTCTGGCCAGGCATGAGGTGGTAGGACAAGGCCTCAGTAGCTTGCTATTCATTTTTAAACTTTTTCTTTTTTTTTCTTTCCTTTTTTTTCTTTCTTTTCTTCTTTTTTTCTTATTTTTCTTAGGGTGTTTTAGAGTCCAAGGACCAGACCCACAGTGATTCCTGGTAGTGGCAGCCAATGGATGTCCTGACAGGATAGGCCACCTACCCTACCCATCCCAACGTTAATACTCCCAGCGCACCCCCTGTCACTACTATCCTACCTCACTGTGACCAGCACTCAGGACCATCGCCCTACCAGTATCGAGGGCAACTTGGAGCAGACAGCAGTGACAAGCACCAAGGCTGGGCCAACCTCCCAGCCCTGATGGAAGCGGAAGCGGACGGGAGAGAGAGAGAGAGAGAGAGAGAGAGAGAGAGAGAGAGAGAGAGAGAGAGCCAGTGCGTTGCCACGTCGAACGGGCCGAATCTCTCTCTCTCTCTCTCTCTCTCTCTCTCTCTCTCTCTCTCTCTCTCTCTCTCTCGCGCGCGCGCGCGCGCGCCCTGCTGCCCCCATTGTCCCTTTTCGTTTTATTTTTTTCAACATTCGATTTATTTTTATTTTGGGGAAACTCCGCGGGAGTCAGAAAAACGAGTTATAATTGCAGTATGGGCCAAGATRCAGTTTGCAATTGCAGTTGGTGCAATGTATACAAACCAGCTTTCTGGCCAGGTAGGGTGCCCGAAGTGCAATTGCAAACTGTATCTTGCCCCATACTGCAATTATAACTCGTTTTTGTGACTCTACTGAAGTTACCCCTTTTATTTTTCATTACCGGTCGTTGGTTCCCCGACCCCCGTCCGATGCAGCACGTTAAAGGCCGCGTGGTGGTATTAACATGCTATTGCAACCCGATATGAGGAATGCACTTCTAAGTATGAGGAATGCAGTTCTAGGTATCACAGGCAGTGTCTAATCATCTGGCCCCCTGGCCAAGGTCTAACATATGCAACGTCAGGGCCACCACAACTTCTGGCCCTAGCCTGCCAAATCCAGAAGGCTGACCGTCCCCCACTTGAGAAGACCTTTAACAAGCTTACTGTCTGGAACATGACACATGTTGCCCGAATGGCTGCGTCCGCGCGTGGAACGCGGTATAATAGTGACCTAGGGTTGGCTACCCTCCTAGTACGTAGATTAGGGTTGAGGCTGGCATAGCAGTTCCTTAGTACGGGATGTCGGGGGTGTCATGGCCGGAACGGGCTCCAGGGACATACGAGGGAACGGAGGATACCCAGCTCTCTATCATCACCATACATCTAAGCTATATGGGAGTTACTGTGCACCCTCGTGAAGACCTGTAGTAGTATGTTACAAACCTAGCTCCCGAAGTCCCCGTGCAATCAGGCTTGCACGGCGTCTGCTTCAACCGGGGCTGAGCAGGGGGTAGGC